ATCTATCTATCTATCTATCTATCTATCTATCTATCTATCTATCTATCATCTATCTTAAAATAGCCAGCAAACAATGTGGTACTGTTATTCTAAACCAAATGGAGCTAAATAGTTCTGACTATTCTCCCAGCTCTGCTACACTCTGTGTTCCTGAAATAGGAAACTCATCAAAGTATACTTTCTGATGAATTGGGTTTGTATGAATGCTAACCTGGGCTAAAAATGGAGCTGAGGTTTGACAGCTAAATCCAATTTAGTGTTTCTCAACTTCAGCACTTTAAAGATATACGGCAGACTTCACCTTCCTGAATTCCCCAGCCAGCATGCTTATACAACAGTAAACCAGAATTTACAGCCGGGCCTCTAGAAGCATTAGCGTATTATCTCAATCAAAACTATCACATTTGAAAGCAGTAAAGAAAGCCGTGTGACTCATGACATGAAATAATGCAAATCAGGCTTTTAGTATAATTTGCGTGAAGATGCCATAACGTGGAAGATGTCATTTTGACGTCATTGTAGCTTCGACCAGTTACATATGAGCATACTGTCCTTTTTAAGATATTGTCCCTGAGTTGAATCAGTGCTTTTTTTCTTAAATCTGGAAAGTTTAAGATGTGTAGAATTCAACTCCCAGCATGTTGGTTGGGGAATCCTTAAAGTTGCCTTAAAAAAAACAAACAAACCCTGGGGTTAAATGTTCTACGCCAGGAGTCTGCAAATTTGCCAATTTTTACACTTGTGCACTTCAACTCCCAGAATTCCTCAGCCAACACTGCTGCCTGAGGAATTCTGGGAGTTGAAGTCCATAGCTCTTAGTTTCAAAGTTTGAAGATTGCTGTAACCAGACAATAGAATAGAGGTTGTCTTGCTCAATTGCTGTAAGTCTGGCTTACTGTACAGGTAGTCCTTGACTTACAACCAGAATTAAGCCCAACATTTCTGTTGTTAAGTGAGACATTTGTTAAGTGAGTTTTTTCCCACTTTATGACTTTTCTTGCTACAGTTGTTAAGGGAATCACTGCAGCTGATAAGTTAGTAACCCAGTTGTTAAGTGAATCTGGCTTCCTCATTGACTTTGCTTGTCATAAGAGGTGATCACATGACCTTGGGCCACAGCAATGGTCATAAATATGAGCCAGTTGCCAGGCATTTGAGTGTCAGGATTCCGGCAGTTACCCCCATCTAAATCATGAGTCTCGAGCCAAACTTCCAAAACTTAAAAAGGATTTATTGAGAGTTAACATGCCGGCACTGCCTGGGTATAGTCGACTCTGAGACACATCATTCATTGTCACCTTTGACCCCCACCCCACCCCCTGGGTGTATCGTAATTCATATTCTCCAATGGGACACATCCATAGCCAAGAGTCATCAATCATGCTCTCCAATTAGAATTTTGCACAGCGGAAACTTCACTCACCTAGTTACTATCTTTGAAAACATTTATGGAATGCAGTTTCGGTTTTGCAAGCTGCCACATTGCTCCCCCCTCTCTTTCTGTTGGCAACTGTAAAAAGGCCAGAGAAATATTTTATGAGTTGACACGAAGTTTTGATCCCATGATCCATGCTGCAAAGGTCGTGACTGTGAAAAAGGAGGCACGGATCAGCTCCGATTTTGCTTTTCATTTCATCTGTACCAAACTCGTCCTTCACCTTGTCACAAGAACAAAAGCTGTTTCATTTTTAATTAGGATAAAACGTAATAGAGAGATGAATGTTATTGCTGTTTTTGATCATTCTCTTCCCATGGATAAAGGTAGGATATACATCTGCGAGAGGGAATACAGATAGTCCTTAACTTAAGACCACCGAAGAGCCGCAAATTTATGCTGCTAAGCAAGACAGTTTGAGTTTGACTAAGTCCTTCATCTTGCAACCCTTCATTTACTCACTGTACAAAATTATAATGACACTGGGAAAAGTGACTGATGAACAGTGGCAGGATTCAAACAATTTAACAACCGGTTTGCCCAGGGTCAGGTTGGCTGTTATGGGAGGCGTAGCCCAGTGGCCCCCAACCTTTTTTGTGTCACGGCCCGGTACCGGCATCACAAAATGATCCGTGGCCCGGTACCGGCATCAGCACGCATGGCAAGGTGAGCCGAGCGACCAGCCAGCCAGCCGTCCCCCGCTTCTCCCCGCCACCTTCAACTCCTCCTTTGTATCTTTGTCGATGGGCTTCAGGACGGCTTCGGGATGGTCGCTCGGCTCGCCTTGCCTTGGGTGCTGAAAGAATCCTCGCGCCTTAGTTTTGTTCGAAGCCGCCCCCCCCCCCCGATGAAACTAAGGCGCGAGGATTCCTTCAGGACCCAAACGCCGCTTTCCAACTGGAAAAGCTCACCGGAAGCACTTTCTTATCAAAACAAGATGGCGGCGCCCAGCAAACTGGCGGCCCGGTAGAAAATGTTCCACGGACCGGTACCGGTCCAGGGCCTGGTGGTTGGGGACCCCTGGCGTAGCCCACTCCCATCCTCCAGCTCCAGCTTATGCAGGATGAGCCTCCCGCGATAGCCAACCCGACCCTGGGCAAACTGGTTATTAAATTACCATCACCACCCGTTATCGAAGTGGATCCTTGGCACTACGCTGCGCTGCAATGGAGAAACAGCCAACATAGTGGCTGGCACAAGGGAAGGAGGAGGAGCAGGGACAAGAAAGAGGGAAAGCGGCTTTCTCCTTCCCTTGTGTCAGTTGCTGCTTTGGCCGTTTCTCCATTGCAGCGCAGTGCCATGCCCTTTGATGGGTGGGTGGGTAATTTAACAACCAGTTCGCCTGAACTGGTGCAAACCGGCTGAATCCCACCACTACTTGGGAAACTTTTTCAAACTTAATGATTGTTGGGAGAAATTCCATGGTCACGTGATGAAAATTTGGACACTTGGGAACTGGCATGTATTTATGACGGTTGCAATGTCCCGGGATCACTTCATCCCCTTTGGCGACCTTTTAACGACTGTGTTACTAACTGAACAACTGCAGTTATTCACTTAACAACTATGGCAAGAAAGATTGTAAAATGAAGGAAAACTCATTTGACTGTCTTGCTTAGGAAGGGGAATTTTGGGCTCAACTGTGGTCGCAAGTTGAGGATTACCTGTAGAGAAGGATACAGTCTTTTTTCAGCATTGGACAAATGACCTAACCTCTCCCTTTGATCTTTGATGACCCTCCTCACTCTTACTTTTCTTTTACACCGGCTTCATCACAACCGGTCCCCAATATCCTTTTGTGGTGTGTGCATGGGTGTACTTTTGGGAGTGTAGCTTGTTTGTGCCACCCATGTTGTGTTTGCTTTGTAACCGATTGCTTTGAGGCATGACCAGCGATGTTGACTTTGCCTGATTGTTGTGTGTGCTTCCAGCAACAACTCACAGTGTATCTTTCGCTACCGGAAATGTGTACCGTCCAGTACTTTGTTTTATATACTTTAATTAAGGTTTCTGGATCTGAACTGCCAAACTACAGGCTATCATTAGGTGGCAGTAAAGGACCACATCTTGGTGTCTCATTGTCACCATCTAGTGGTCATTTGAGGCTTTGCAGCCCAGACCTGGTAATCTTAGCTGTCAAAAAGAAGTCAAGATTGTCTTGATAGTAACAGGAAAAAAAAAGAACTCTCCATGTTCAGGGCCTCAAATAAAGCCTACAGACCAGGTGAAATTTCTTAAAATTTTCACATTCTACTGCATGTACTTTGTTTTATTCCAGTGATTGTATGATTCTTTGTGCCCGGTTCTTTTATTCAAAAGCATGGTACATCTAACAAAACCACATATTCTGGAAGGAATGGGAATAAAGTCTCAAGGGTGGAGACAAAGTGAAGGAAGTTATTCTCATTAAAGTGAAGGAAGTTATTCTCATTAA